CAAGAATAGTTAACAACATAGCTAAAATATTAACACATAGTAAACAATATTGTTGTTGTTAAGTACCATGGAGTAGATTCCGACTCATAGTGACCCTGCACATGGTTTCTGAGGCTGTAAATCTTTACGGGAACAGAATGCCTCGTCTTTCTCCCGTGGAACTGCTGGTAGTTTCGAACTGCTGACCTTGTGGTTCACAGCCCGATTGGTAACCTCTATGCTACCAGAGCACACTGATTCAAAATTCATAATAATATTTTATTATTCACTATTAAGTTTATGCTAAAATTACACAGATACCTGAATGAAGGTTTCAAACATATAAAAAGTAATTCTTGTCTAGGAATTGTTTCCATACATGATTTATTTAAGTTACCTTTGCGATTTCTATTTTCCCTGTATGTCATAAAAGACATACAGCTAACCACAATATTCTCTTTGAGGAAGGCTGGGAAGCCACACTTTTAAACTACTTTTCTCCAACATCACAGTCAATTGACAGAATCCCATATATTTCTATTTTAAAGGACAAGAATTAGAATCAGATAGAGAAGAGAAGAGCTGAAGCCCTTAAATGCTTTCAGCCCTAATTGTATTTGCCCAATGTGATAATATAAATTGTCTTTTATCAAGTGCCAGTACCATCACTTTTGCCACAGCTTCATTCTGCAATCCTGAAATACTTAGGGCAAAATTTAACTTAAGAAAATTTTATTTGTGCAAATGTACATCTTAATAGCACCTAAATATTAGGCATCCTGGTGTGGTGCTTGTAGGATAAGTACTGGACTGTTAACCGCAAGGTCGGAGGCTCAAACCAACACAGTATCACTCTGAGTTAGAACTGACATTATTGCATTTAACTCAACAACAACAAATATTAATATAAATATGCACAGGAGTGTAAGATATCTCTAATAATGCCTACTGTCATCAAGTCGATTACAACTCATAGCAACCTTGTTAAGGGTTTCTAAGGCTATAAATCTTTACGAGACTTGTATTGAAGCAGAAGGCCTCATCTTTCTCCCTCGGAGGGTCTGGTGGGTTTGAACTGCTGATCTTTCAAGTATTAAGTGTCTTATCAAATACCAATTGACAAGTACATTCTGGTTTAATTTTTGACAAGAGATCATGCCTGTCATCTGCATATATAAAAACTGATTCCCAGATTTTTGTATACTGTTAATTGGCAGAGTGATCCCAACATAAATCAAAAGAAATTTTGATTATTGATATTATTCATAGTCATGAAAAATTGTTGTCATGGAATGCTACTTTTTAATTTTTCAGTAAATGAGACATTAATATTTAAACAATACATTTTAAACTGTTGAAAGATGCCCCTCTCAGACAGACAAAGGATTCCATTTTGCTCCAGAAATGCCTTAGAATGGAGGTCTCTGGTTCCCATATCCACAGGACAACTAAAAGAAATGGTTTGAAAGAGAACACTGAAGCTACCCAAGCTGTCCCACAATTACACTGTGATTGTTAGTAAAATTTAGGAAGTTACCTTACAGTTCTATTTTCTGGGTATTTTGTACACCTTCAAGTGTAAGCATAAAGACCACAAAACTCACCTTAATATAAAATATTTAGATAAAACGCTTTTCCGCCAAGGTTTTCAAGGATAACTAACAACAACGCTAAAACAAAGTTAAATACTCCTTATCTTTTCTCATATTACTTACAACTTTTGTGATGACTAAAAACTGTGCTTTTACTAGGAAATAGTCCAAGTGTTCTGTTCTGACAGCGATTATGTACAGAACTTTATACTGTATGTCAACACTTTTCCAGGTTTGGCATGTTTAAGGGCCTATTAATATTCTTTGAAATTATCAAAATTAACATCCACAATTAGAAAATAAGTTCAGATAAAATGTCAGTATTGTTTCAAATATTGTTAAGTGCTATCGAGTCAATTCCAACCAATAGCGACCCTGTATAGGGTTTCCAAGGAGCAGCTGGTGAACTTGAACCACCGCCTTGTAGTTCAAACGGCTCTGTAGTCTGGCACATTAACCCACAGCACCATACCAGGACTCCTGTCTCAAATGTTAGCTTTGGTAAATAGTCTACATGATTAAAAGAGACAGATTAAAGTCTCAGACCTCACTGGGTTAACTTTCAAAAGAGAACAGAGAGACAAATGAGCAAGAATAAATTGCCAAATCATCATGTACATCACCACACAAGCATATCAAGACAGGAAAAATATTTCTCAAGAAAAACAAGTTAATTCTACGTAAAAGTATCCTTTATATGGGATCGGGAGGTGTGGAAAAACCTAAATCAAAGCTTCTACTTTAAGTAATATGAGAATTGGTTTACTGTTAATATTTCTTAATTGTGAATGAGCTAGTAAGAATGGATACACTGTATAAATTTAATAAAGTTACCAACTCAATCCTTCCCTTTTCTCTTGGAAATGACTATGAAACCTTACTCAGCTTTGATAAATCAATCTGATAGAAAGTGAACTACAAATAAGAGAGGGCATTGTTTGAATGGTTAAAACATTTGCTTAAAAAAATTATCTAGACTCTAACAAGTCAATTAGACTCATTAGATCTGTCTAATTCCTTTGGGGTAGAGGTTTTTTTAAAACACTGGATTCCTTGGTTTGTGCAAATAATAAAGTGCTGGACACTTTATTAGTGCAAACCAAACCACCAACCTTGCAGCAATTTACACTAGTTTACAGCTGAAAGGTTGGTGGTTCAAATCCACCCTGAGGCCACTCAGAATATTGGCCTGTCAATCTACTACTTCCAAACATCACAGTCTTGAAAATTATGGAGCTGTTTTCAAGTTTTCTGTACACAAGGGGTCACCATGTAGAGGAACAGACACGATGAAAACTAACATTTTATTCAAAAAACCTTTTATAACATGGTCATTTTTTAAAGGCTGATAACGTAGTGGTTACGAATCAGGCTGTGAACTGTAAGGTCAGCAGTTCAAAACTACCAGCTGCTCCGGAGAGAAAGATGAGGCTTTCTGCTCCCATAAAGATTTACAGCCTCGGAAACCCTGTACAAGGTCGCTATGAATCCAAACTGACTCCACGACACTTAACAACAAAAACAATAGGAGTTCTAGAAGAAGCTCTGGTAGCGCAGTGGTTATGAATTGGGCTGCAAACCGCAAGGTCAGCAGTTCGAAACTACCAGCTGTTCCACAGAAGAAAGATGAGGTTTTCTGTTCCCGTAAAGATTTACAGCCTCGGAAATCCTGTAAGGGTCGCTATGAGTCAGAACCGACTCCACAGCACATAACCTCCACCACCACCATATGAGTCCTGGTGTGGCATTGTGGGTTAAACGCCAGACTGCAAAGCCATTTGAACTGCAAGTTCGGTAGTTCAAGCTCACCAGCTGCTCCTCGGAAACCCTATACAGGGATGCTGAGTTGGAAACGACTTGATGACACTTAGCAATATAAATTAGGGATTCCTGGTGTGGTCCTGTAGAATAAGCACTGGACAGACCAAAAGGTAGGTTTGAACCAAAAGGACAGTGGTTCAAACTCACCAGCCACTCCTCAGAAACACTATACAGGGTAGATATGAGTCTAGACCGACTCAATGGCACTTTAACAACAACAACCAGAAAAAGAAAGAGGAGGATTCCAAAATATTTTACTATATACAGATAATATGATCAATTGTTAACAGCTTTTTGGACATACTGGTTCACTGTGAGCCCAATGGACCGAAGCAATTGTTGTTAAGTGCCGTCGAGTCGGTTCTGACCCATAGCGACCCTGTAAAGGGTTTCCCAGGAGCAGCTGGTGAGTTTGAATGGCCAACCTTGCAGTTCAAAGGGCTTCACAGTCTGGTGCATTAACCCACAGCACCACACCAGGACTCCTCGAGGCAATTAATAACATACAAATTAGGAGTCCTGAAGGCACAGTATAAGAGTCCTGGTTGCTAGCCAAGAAGTGAGTAGTTGGAGCCCACCAGCATTTCTGTCTAGGAAAGATGAGTTGTTCTACTTTGTACTATTGGGTCAGACTGAGTTAGAATCAGAATCAACTTCACAGCAACAAGTTTGGTTTAGGGTGGCTTTTTTTTTTTTTTTTTTTTTTTTAATATATAAATTAAGGTAGTGCCTAGGTGGTACCCACAGTCAATTTGCTCAGCTGCTAAGTAAAAATCCACCCAGAAGAGCCTCCGAAGAAATTCCTAGTCATCTACTTCAGAAAAATCATGCATTACACAATTTTACGGAGTCCAGTTCCAAACTGGTCACTATAAATTTAAGTGGCAAACTGCCACATATTTATTAAATATGTACTTATTAAAGATGTATGAAAGAAAAAAGTTATCCCGAAACTTTAAAAAATATTTGAAAAAGTGCAAAGAAATCCAACATTAGATAATCAACTACTAAAATTGTACAAAGAAATTCAGAACTCGTTCCACAAGTTCATTACTGAAGAAACATAGCTTTTCTTTTTAACCAGTTGCATGAAAAGGGGGAAATAACAGTTCCTTTCAGTAAAATCAAATAGAGCAACTGGAAAAAACCAATGCGCATCCACTGTATTAAAATACAGGAAACTTGGCTAAAAAAATAAAGGAAGCCGAAGCGAAAGAGTGTTCGCCTCACATGACCACGATGAGCTAGCTGTTCCTGCTCTGGTTCTAATTTTAGAGACTCTTTGGATTTTGAGGAGGGCTCATTTTTACACATTCACTGAAAAAAAGGAGCGTACAAAAAACCAGGCCACGTCATCGGCTCCAGTGCCTAATCTGCGCTTCTCTGGGCTAGGCAGGTTCGGGAGACTCAGCGGGAAGTGGAAGAATTCAGGAAGGGGGACTCCGGGGATCCGAGAGAGGCCGCAGATGGGAAACAAGAAATATACACGCCGTTGTCCGTAGGCAGATTACTACTACCACTAAAGTTTAGACAAATTCTAAAACTCCTCCGACACGGCTTAGGAAACCGTCAGTAAATCGGTGCGCAATTCAGGGTGCACGGCCTTACCTGTGCCATGGCGAATGCTCAGGTCAGGAGATGGTGATGCAAGACTGCAAGACAGGAGAGAGATCGCAGGTTTAGAGAGCAAGACCCCGCCGCCTCTGCCCCTCCCCACAGCGCAGGTCTATAGGAGAGTCGCGGATCAGAGCGCAAAGGGAAGAGCAGACCCGCCCTCTCCGCAGGTCCCGGACCGCTCTCAACAGCCTACGTGCGAAGCCATCGCCCAGCGACCTTGCATCCCACTTCGGAGGAAGCAGTCTCCCGGAGCTAGGCGGCACTCACCGAAGTGCTCCCAAACTTCCCAACAGTAGCGGGGAGCCCGGCAGCTGAGGCAAACAGAACAGAGCGGGATGGAAGCAATGAGGACTCCGGGTAGCTACTCTCAGTTCTGAGCAACGGAAACACCACCAGCCCCGCCCCGGCCCGGCCCCAGGCCCTGACCTAGCCGGAGCTAGCCTGTCCCACCCACCGCTCAGCCGGTCCCGCCCATCGCACTAGACAGCCACGCCCACCGCCCAGTGAGATGGTGGAGAGCCTTAGTGCGCCTGCGTAGGGCGAGGTACCTTGGAGTCTTAAGAGCCTAGCGTGGATCCCTGCGGATTCCGAAGCTGTGGGTGGGGCCCGCCTGAAGACTGCGAAGATGGCTTAGGGAGAGGTCGCAGATTCCCGGTCCCTAGGCTCTGGGCTCCTCGGTTTGTCTGTGGCCTCACCCTCACGCTCCAACATAGCAGTGAGTGGGCGCCTTTTTGGAATGCTAGACAGTCACTGAAGCCAAGAACAGACAGGGCGTTTTTAACCATAACCGCGAAGCTTTTGAGAACCATTTCCAAAGTGTCTGTTTCCAGTTTTTTATTTAGTTTTGTTTTTTTAAGTGTCAATGACTGCCTTTTAGATAATCCTTTCTTAATTTGCTAGCCCTTCCGTAGTAAATGTGAGATATCTCAAAGCCTCTGCCACGGATCAATTTCTAATTTCAAAATTAGCCTTGAACTTTAATATAAACTTAAAACTGGGTCATGCCTTATATCTGTACAACATCCGAGTAAAGTATGTAAGCATTAGATATACCGTATATGCATGAGTGTATGTACATACAAACAATAGACAGCAATAGATTGACCACTGGGTAGTAAAATAAGCTGATAAAGGAAAGCAAATATAGAAAGACACGATGCCTTTCTCAGCCTTATGGATGGGAGGCGCCAGGGCGAGGCAACAGATAAAGCCAGAGGACAAAAAACTTGGAATATGTGACACAATGAGAGATTTTCTAATGAAAAATGCAAAGTGCTATAGAATTTCAACTTGGAGAACTAGGGATCTAGTCTGGGGAATCAGAAGGAGCCTTTGCCATACATTACATGAGAACTTACGTAGTTCTCTGTATAAACTTCGCTGGATTGCACATGTGAATCATATACTTAGTCAGACACTAAGTCACAGCCTAGTTTTCGTTCTCTGGAAAGGGAGGCAAAAGTGCGGAGAATATGGAACTAACCACGCTCCCACCTCCTTTCAATTTACCTTTTCTCTTTCTCACTTCAGCATCTTTCCAGGGGCATTCCTTGCAGGCAGCCTTTCCGTGGCATATTTATTTTCTCTCTGAGCTTCTCTGAGCAGGCATACACCTTATGCTTTTCTGTAATGATCATCTTTCTGACCTTCACCAAGAGTAACTTGTTTAATCTGAACTGGGGCCTTCACTCCCCTACTCCTACCCCCAGCACACACATTTATAGCTTCATTTCTTCAGTGTGTCTACATTTTTTATTCCAAGGGTAATGAAATTGGAAAGAACTTCAGAAATTCTATATTCAACAATCTTAATTCTTTAATGGGAAACAATTGTCTATCATAGGTGAATGATTTGTTCTGTGTTTCAGTTAAATAGCAACAAAACAGATGAATCATTAGACTCACTGTCTTCATATATCCAGTTTGGTATTTCTTTCACCTTAGTTACATCTATTTATTCAACTTCTACTCTGGAATGGAGACCTGGTGTGATGCTGTAGGATAAGCACTTCACTGCTATCCTCAAGATTGGCAGTTCAAACCCACCAGCTGCTCCTTGGAACCCTATACAGGGTTTCTATGAGTCAGAATCAACTTGATGGCACTTAACAACAACTACTACTACAGTTCTGACACTGGAGATAATCAGAAAATGAAACAAAGCCCCTGGCCTCATAGGTCCTACATTCTGGTGGAGGAAGTGGACAATAGCCAATACCTGATATGTTCAGGATGATGTACGCTGTACATTAAAATAAAAGAGATAAAGAATGAGAGTGGGTGAATGCTATTTTGCAAAGATGATCACAGAAGGTCTTTCTGAGGTTTGCACAGAAACCTAAATGAATAATAGAATTTAATTTAGTTGTATTTGAAAATCATATTACTGAGAACCTTTTGAAAGTGCATACATAAGAATTTGTGCTTAATATATTGTGGTGGTGGTGGTTATGTGCCATGGAGTCGGTTCCAACTCATAGTGACCCTGTATAGGGTTTCTGAGGCTGTAAATCTTTACAGAAACAGAAAACTTCATCTTTCTCCTGTGGAACAGCTGGTAGTTTTGAACTGCTGACCGAGATTAGCAAACCGACTCATATCCGTTACACTACCAGAGCTCCTTACCTTAATATTTAGGTAACATCTATACAAATAATAAAATAAAACACAAATAATGAAAGAAATATGTAAGATACAATCAAA